TCCAGCATATATTATTCACGTCAATAATTGTGCAGGAACCCAACAGATTTTGCGGACGACAGAAGCTTCAGGATGCAGCGGGAAATAGTAATGGTAAGAACTGTATTAATTTATTGTGATTTAAACCATAAGTTTTAATCGTGATGGTTCGTTGCATCTAATGAGCTGAAATAACTTCAAAAAGCTTGAAAGCTAAGAGAACGCAACATCTCCACCGAAAACATTACGGAGGCCAACTCCAACATCATTAAAAAATTTGTATAAATACAGGGAACATCAGCATTAGGCGCATTAATGATATAAAATCGCTGTTATTTTATCAATTACGTTAAATCAACCGAGTCGACGGCACTTATCAATCTTACTGTAAATGACACGGTTCGATGACATCCTTCGTAGCTTCTATCAGAATCGCTTATTCGGGTGTAAATGTATTGGAGACTTCCTAGGTATTTGAAAACACAAGGGATATAAGTTGGCGATATAAAACTTGACGTCATCTTCATTCTAATCTCATTGCAGTCATGCCATGACCGCTGGGCAGTCTTTAGTTTCCTACAAGTGTTGAAGTTTTCTTCCTCATTTTCTGCGCATAATGTGCAATATCCGCTATTTTTCTTTGAATTTTTAGCTGCATTAAAACAAGACATGTCTGCAATACACGACAATCGTCTGCAATACACGACAATCGTCTGCAATACACGACAATCGTCTGCAATACACGACAATCGTCTGCAATCAATCGTCCGCAACACACGACAATCGTCTGCAATACACGACAATCGTCTGCAATACACGACAATCGTCGTATACCTTTTTAGCAAACGATGGTTCGGCAGCTTCGAAATTTCGAAAATGGAATAGGATAATTAAAAAGAATTGTCCCTACTTAATCAAACAGTAAACGGAAACTTGAATTTAGGGCGGTACCAGTTTCGGATTGCTTTCGAAGATATTGTATTTCCATCGTCTATCTAATGAGATCGTCTGAAAATATCTCTCAGAAATCCTTCACTGCAGGATTTCAGGTTTTGCTATCTGCGACCAAATCCTTATTCTCATCTTCATCTTATCCACGTTATTCTTCATTGATTTAGCATTTTGAGCACTCGTAATAAATGCGATAAAGCGATTTTTGCTTTAATTCGCTTCAAGTTCTATTAGAACGTTCAACCGTTCCGTTTCTAATAGCCTCACATGGCGCTGAACATACCACAACCGAATTACACAGCAACCTTTAGTTCTGTTAAAAGCATAGTCATTTCAGAACATTGATCTATACACTTTCACTTTAAATCATACTCTCTCAAAAATTGTTATGGCTTTGTCACTGTGGTGTCAGTCTTGGTAATAATGAAGTTCAGAAACACCATGTGTTTTCGAATAAAGAAAAAATAAATTTTAATTAGTTAAACACACCAGAGGCACAGAAATGTAAATTTGTATCTAGTATGAATCCTTTGACTTGATCATCCGGTTCCGGTTCTACCAATAGCTTGAAACTATTTTTCTTTAATTCCTGAATAGGAATAAGCAAATTTTTCTTCGACAATACTGGGTTATTCTAAATGATGGACCGAATTTAATAACTTCGTATTTATTTAAGTATATATTCAATATGAATAATTTATTCACAGATAGAACGAAACAGATTCAAGTTTTTCTTACATATTTACAAATGTTCAATATGTCCTCCTTGCGCTGCACGGCAAATATCTAAACGGTAGTCAAACTCGTCCCACAAACGAGAACTAATCTTTTCCCGAACGTTGGGCAAGTCGTATAGGAAATGAAGATCTGGCTCTACACTTCTGGCCACCGAGATCACCTAGTCTCACCCTATGTGACTATTTCTTATGGGGTTAAGTCAAGGAAGCTGTTTACGTCCCGCCTCTACCCGCAACTCTGGTAGAGGCGGGGTAAGTTGCTGGTAGAGGCGGGACGTAAACAGAATTGCTGGTAGAGGCGGGACGTATACAGAGTTACTGGTAGAAGCAGGACGTAAACAGAGTTGCAGGTAGAGGCGGGACGCAAACAGCTTCACTAGGTGATCTCGGTGGCCAGAAGTGTAGAGCCAGATCTTCATTTCCTATGCGACTTGCCCAACGCTCGGGAAAAGACTAGTTCTCGTTTGTGGGACGAGTTTGACTACCGTTTAGATATTTGCCGTGCAGCGCAAGGAGGGACATATTGAACATTTGGAAATATGTAAGAAAAACTTGAATCTGTCTCGTTCTATTTGTGAATAAATTATTCAATTTGAATATATACCAAAATAAATACGAAGTTGTTAAATTCGGACCATCATTTAGAATAACCATGTATTGTCGAAGAAAAAATTTGCTTATTCCTATTCAGGCATTAAAGAAAAATTAATTTCAAGCTATTGGTAGAACCGGATGATCAATTCGATATATTCATACTAGATACAAAATCACATTTCAGTGCCTTCAGTGTGCCTAACCAATTAAAATTTTTTTTTATTCTAAAACACATGGTATTGCTGAACATTATTACCCAAGATTCTAATAACGCAGTATCGAAGCCATTACAATTTTTGTGATTGTGTGATTTTAAGTGAGAGTGTATGGATCATTGTTCTTAGATGACTATGCTTATAACAGAACTAAAGGCTGCTGTGTAACGTCTGGCGTATATTCAGCGCCATGTAAGACTATTAGAAACGGAACGGTTAAATGTTCCAATATAACTTGAATTAAATTAAAGCAAAAATCGATTCATCGAAATAAAAATTACGAGAGGTCAAAATGTCAATTCTATGATGAATAGCTTGGATAAGATAAAGATGAGAATGAGGATTTGATCGTAGATGATAAACCTTAAATCCTGAAATTAAGGATTTCCGAGAAATATTTTCAGACGATCTCATTCGATAGACGATGGAAATACCTTGAAAGCAAGCCAAAACTGGTATCACTCAAACTCCAAGTTTCAATTTACTGTTTTATTTAGTATGGACCGTCTTAAAACAAATTCATAAATTCCATTTTCTGAATTTCGAAGCAGCCGGACCATCGTTTTTACACAAGTAATGAATCTAACGATTCGAAGTTTTCCTCTAACTGTCAAATTTTTCCGACTAAGCCACCAGATTCTCTTAAAATTATACTGCCTCATACTATCATTATTCGTTTCTAAGTCAAGTAAGGCACCGCGAGTACAACAAAAATTTAGTGAAAATTCAAGGACAGAAAAAACAATATAATTTATAACCTCTATGTTTCCGGTTGTTTAAGAATATTCCCAAGCAAACTAGTGAACCTTCGTGGTGCACTAGCAAGTGGCCATAGTGCTGTGGTCGATGCAGTAGGGGTAGCTGGGGTTGGTGCTGAACGCCGGGCCGGTGAGTTGTTGTGTTCAGTGTTCAGCAGCGTAGGCGGGACAGGTGCCCTCTTCGCTGGGGTCGATGCAGTAGGGGTAGTTGGGGTCGGTGCTGAACACCAGACCGTTGGGGCACTGCATCTCCACCACCACGTAGCTGGTGCCGCTACCCTGACGACACGCCCAGTAACTGTTGTTGAACAAAATATGAATTAACTTTAATTACAGTTTAGTTAGGCAACATTCAAGGAAGTTTTAATACGGCGTAGTAACAGAATTAATTCTATCTGTGAGCTTATCCTGTACCTTCGGATTTACTTGATGATATCAATAATATGAAATTTATGGCTGCCGTGACGACAGCCTTTCATTTGAAAGTCGCAAACTTTTTTGTTGTGTAACGGTGAATGTGTACAGGAGTTTATTTAGGTCGTTAATTGCAAGGCAAAGAAAACAAATTTTACGTAATTATTTTAACGTATGAAATGACGTTTCAACTACGGTCTTACGATACGAGCGAGTAGTTTTCCATCAGTGATTTTAACAAGATTCTGTATGTCATCAGAAAACTTGCATTTCTGTGGTTGAATTTGCATTGTAAAACATTCAATCATGAAGGAAATAAACTTATTCGCCGTTTTCAAATTGACAAATATATATTTAAAAAATTTTTGAAAAACTTACTGTGAATCACACGGTCCATAGGGAAAATTTCCGACGCTGCTTGCGTCGCACTTTTCAGGTGGTGGATAAGGCGGAACTGTTGATGTGAAATTACATGTAGTCAATAGATCACAATTACTGCATGCGGCCGTATCACAACCGTATGTTGTCGGGTTGAAGCACTGGTTTGGTGGGCACGAAAAAGGACCGGTTGCCGGAGGGTCCTGATTTGGATCACAGTTGTAGTACCGTGAGCAGGCAGTCAAGTCAGGACAGAGCCCAGCTGCGCATCCATCAGCTGCTGCACAAGGTGTGGGCGGCGCTTGGGAACAGGAGCCATCTTTTGACACGTACTCGCCCTCTGCACAATCTAGGACATTTGTGCATACTCCGTTAGTACATGTGTATCTGGAGCTGCATTCCTGGTTAACGAAGTAATCCACAGGCTGCGTGTTCCCTGCGGTCAAGGTACAGTCAATACAAATGCCGTTCCCAGCACATGCTCCCGCTGCCGTGCAGTCAATTATATTTGTAATGCCGCTGGCGTCACATTTGGCTGAGAATTGTGGGTTGTAATCGTCGCACTTGTCGCTGGTGCACTGGCATGCTGTGGCCGATGCAATCGCAACGCATGCTACTGTGGTTGGGGTGATCTGCTCACACACCTGACAAGAAATTGTAATTATATAATATTAACAGCTTTTTTGGGTCGGTTATTGCATCTATACAATTGTGCTCTTACGGATAAGAAACCTCTTCTGATGAAGCCTTTGTGCGTGAAATATGTTGCCAGAATATAATTTTATACTGAAATCGGATTCTCCAGAATATAATTTTGTACTGAAATCGGATTCTCCATAAATAAAAAAAACTTGTTGAGAGCTAAGTATCTGAAAGATCGACAACAGCATATTGTTTGTTTTTACCATCCATGAGGTTATTAAAACGTATATAATATAAACTCACTGTACTTACTGTGCCTAAGGAGCAAGGAGTTAAAACGGCAGGTATGAGTCCGCACTCAACAGGCTGTAAACAACTTCCACAACGTTGGTCTCCAATAGGGACACCGGCACATACGACTGCAAAATTGATCGCGGGAAGGCCACTGCAAAGTAAATGAACAATTGGAGGGCTAATTGCACATCTGAGGTAACCCCGGAAAATCGGCTAATCAGCCTGGGTGCACGTACAAGTGCGGTATGGAGTTACATGCGCCAGTTTGTGGGGATTTGTAAGCGTCAGCGCGTGTAGACTACGGCATCAATACTTACTTGCACTGGCGTCGGTTCGCTCACATCAGCGCATGGACACGTATGGCTCCGTCACTCAATCGTGCAATACGCTGTCAGCAGTATTTGACGCATGAACAAGCAAGGTAGCAGGCTTCTCTCGTTCGTGCCTAAGTCTCCGGTACATTTCTGCTCTATCGCTGCTCTGTCGCGTCTCTACGCCGGCTCTGCAGCCGGCGACGGCCTGTTCTATTCCCTGCCCTAAATTTTAACTGGGTTGTTGTACTCGTAATCGTTGTTGTACTCTCACTTATTGCACTCGTACTTGTTGTACTCGCACTTGTTGTACTCTCACTTGTTGTTGTACTCTCACTTGTACTCGTACCAGTTATCGTACTGGTACTTGTTGTCCCAACTGCTGATGTGAAATTGCATTGAGTCCATGGATCACAATTATTGCATGCGGCCGCCTCACATAAGAATGTGACGGGGTTAAAGCACTGGTTTGGTGGGCAAGAAAAGAGTCCGGTTGCCGGAACTTCTTGATTTGGATCACAGATGTAGTACCGCGAGCAGTCAGTCAAGTCAGGACAGAGTCCAGCGATGCATTTATCAGCTGCTGCACAAGGTGTGGGCGGCGCTTGGGAACAGGTGCCATCTTTTGACACGTACTCGCCCTCGGCACAGTTTACGACTCCTGCGTATGCTCCGCTATTACATGTGTACATGGAGCTGCATTCCTGGTCAGCGAAGGAATCTACGGTGCCTGTGGTCCCTGTACAAGCACTACAAATTCCGTTCCCAGCACACTGTTCACCTGCCGTGCAGTCAACTACATCCGTAATGCCGCTGGCGTCACATGTGACTGTGAATTGTGCATCGTAATCGTCGCACTTGTCGCTGGTGCACTGGCATACCGTGGCCAATGCAATCGGAACACATGCTACTGTGGTTGGGGTGATCTGCTCACACACCTGACAAGAAATAATAAACATATAATATTAACAGCTTTTTGGGGTAGGTTATTTGTATCTAAGCATTTGTGCAACTACGGATGAGGAACCTCTTCTGATACATCAGTGAAGTGTCTTCTGGTAATATACGTGATATGTATAGCTATAATATAATTTTGTTCTGAAATCGGAAAACACTTTTTGAGTGCTAAGTATCTGGATGATCGACAACAGCATCGACATTAACACGTTTACAATATAAACGAATTTTAATGCATTTCTTGTACTTACTGTGCCTGGGTAGCAAGGAATTAAAACGTCGGTTGGTAGTTCAGTTTGGCACTCAATAGGCTGTAAACAACTACCACAATGATGGTCTCCATCAGCTGCACCGGCACACAGGGTTGCATTATCAATAGTGGGAAGACATCTGCAGAGTAAATGAACCATTCTATTAATAAAAGTTTGTTCGAATTTGTTGTGTTCAATAACTATAAAGACCTTCGCGTAGCTTAGCAACATATGTTTCATCCATAGAATACACACGAATTATCCCAAAATATTGACGGAGAAGAAAAAATACTAAGTATATATTTGTTATTCAGTAAATGCATTCTACAAAAAAGCAGGCTTTTAAATCGAAGAAATTAATGATAAATATTGAGGCATGTTGAAAAAAATACTGAGTGTAAAGTGAGAAAAGTTTTAATTTATTCCTCACCTGGCCATCCCCGCGACCAGGAGCAGCACCTGAAACACAGAAGCTGTTAAAGACGTCGTGTGTTGCAGACGATTGTCGTGTGTTGCAGACGATTGTCGTGTGTTGCAGACGATTGTCGTGTGTTGCAGACGATTGTCGTGTGTTNTCACAGCATTAACATCTAGAATGCATAGTAGTAAAGAGAGGAGGCAGAGAAAAACGCATGCCTTTCTCTCAGAATAAGGTAAAAGATTCCAAACATTTTGCAGGTTGATGCGAAAGTGCAAATAAAGGGTTAAAAACCATACAAGGATTTTGAATTATTAATTTTATCACAAAAAGTTTTTTTATGTGTCAGTTGCAAATTCAAATAAAACAGATTGTTATTGACGCATTATTCTTAGGGCTGGTCAATCAAAGTAGGGGAATTACGTTAGTACGAATGTCATATTTTTCCTTCCCAACTGTCGCTGGATAGTGGAACCAATTTATCAATATTTGTGCTGCGCAAAAAAATGAAAGTTTTAGGAGAAAATTATAGAAAAGTGAAGCGAAACATTAGAGAGTTTCAAGTAAATTGCTTCTTTATATGCTTTTTATTGATTGTTCTTTTCCAGCACTTAATAATATGGCCCATTGGTTACTGAATATATATTCGAAATTTGGAGCGCTTGAGACACTTATCTCTCAGTCGTGTCGTTTTTCTTGTACACTGATAGAACAGCAGGCATTTTCAGTAAATGAGTTCTTAGTATTTCGCTGCGGATAGAAGTGTTTCTTGGGATTCATCTCCACATATTTAGGTTACCGACCTGAGTAGGACTGGGAAATGCAATTATTTCTCGGTAACATCTCCTGTGATTATGTTCGTGTGATGGTTGCCCTGTTCTAAAGGTGGCAATTACAGGTTGGAAGCACGGAAATAAGCAAACGTGCTGCACACAATATGAATTGTGTGTTGGAAGCACGGAAATAAGCAAACGTGCTGTATACAATATGAATTGTGTGAATGTGTGTGGTGCATCTTGTATAGCTAAACTTGATGCAGATGTTGTGACCGAAAGACCCAACTAGTTGGTTCGATAAGCTCGATTCTCCGAATCTGACTTCGAGGAAAATTATATATTGAACTACTGTGCCCCGTCCGTAGTAACCCTAAATGAAGGCTTCTGATTGACAAGCTGACGAGATTTTCATATTTATTTTTATAATATGTGCTATAAATGTGCGTTCATTTGTATTGATTTATGTAATTAAACGCGCATGTAATAATAATATTATAAAATATAATGACAATATTATCAGATACATATAGTGTTTTTGTCCTTATTTTACTCAATGTACTATTATTAGCGAAATTAGTAAATGTACCGATCGCATTTCATGATATTCTACTGGCACCCGGATGGTGGCGTCCGCCAACAAAACTTGATCATTGCCAGATTGTCGAGTGTTTTATAAAATACATTTTTGTTGTACGAAAATTAACTAGCTTTAGATTGCTCATACCCCGCATATGTTTACGTACCCTCTGGGATGCCATCGTTTCACAGTTGTAAAGCTACTGCTGTTGATCATTTGTGGCCATTCTATATTTGCCGCCATAGCCAATTGCAATTACCGCAACCTGAGCGCCGGCCACCAACGGGTATGCCATTCTTAATGCTCGTGTCCACACCGCGGCAGGGTGCCCGGTGGGCCGGCATGGTCCTATTTAGGCAATATTCGCACAGTAATTTCATGGAAAGATCCCATACCTGCCGAATGACTGCATTTAGGTAGTGCGAATATTTTATTTCTGAATCCTATTGCTGGCCCATGAGTGTGAATATTTGGTAGGTACATTTTGACAGACGCTCAAGTCACTGTGGCGTTAGGAATTTGTTTTGTCTAGTTTCATTAATAGAGTCTAGCACTATGTGGGTTGTGATTTGATTTGTATAAGAGGAATTTTAACACGTTTTTCTTTACTCAGTTTCGCGTTTGTTTGTTTGTTTGTTGTTAACATTGACAACGAAAATTAGCCCACTGCTGATTGCTCTAGAGAACTGAAATTGGGCATGCAGGCTATTTTCGCCTAACAATTTCAGATACAATCATAAAAACTAGCAATTAGAGACCTAAATTAGCTTCATTGAGTAAAGTATTTATATACTATATATATAGTATGACGTGCGGGCGCTCACGTTATAGACGAGCATGCGCTAACGCTGCGTATCATCGATACGTACGTCAAGTCATACTTAATCAAGTCTTAATCGTATTTCTTGTGGAATAAAAAGTAGAAAATAAAATACTTAAAAAAACTTTTTAAAAACCACGTTTTTCTTGTGGACTAAAAAGTAGAAAATAAATTATGGCTCGCCCCAAAAAACGTGGGTCGGGCTGTACGTTCACCATGAAATTTCCAAAATTCGTGTGTTGTGTGCTTTTCGCTTTAATCATAAATCTGCCCGACACACGTTTTTTGGGGCGAGCCATAATTTATTTTCTACTTTTTAGTCCGCAAGAAAAACGTGGTTTTTAAAAAGTTTTTTTAAGTATTTTATTCTTAGTCTGTTACGAAGCCAGGTGCAGACGGAGCATCAGCAGCATAATTAGGCATGCAAATATGGAATATGGCGGCTTTTAAGGAGATGTTATCAGAGGAATGACGTGTCATGGTTTTGTGAGTATGTAACGAATTGGTCCAGCGATATTGTGTGTGGGTAGCTGATACGGAATGAAAAGAAGGCAATAATGTCAATCCCTTTATTTTTTGGCTTTGAGTGAGCGTAGTTGTCGTCAAATGGGGTCAGAAATCAAATTAAGGTGTCTCAAGTTTCGGACATTTAAGGTGTATCAAGATTCGATGAATGAACCTTGAATATTTTGCCTGTTATGTTATCCCTCTCAAGGGAAAGCATTACAAAGTATCAAGAAATTTAAATATCTGACCCCAGTGCAAGACAGCTTGAACAATTATAAGATATATTTAACTGTTTTAATTTTTCAAAATTTTCAAATTTATTCATGCAAAAGATGAACTTTTTAATTGCATTTATATTCATTTCCGTATTGTTATTTTGAATAAAGAAATAGAAATTTTTACTTCCGTATTATACGAGAAAGCGCAAAGACTTCAATTTCATTGACTGAGTCAAAATTTTGATATAAATACTTAAATATGAATACGTGGGCATTGCAGGGGATGATACTAAGCATGGGACGACAGATATAATTGGCGATTGGCAGAGGCATGATAACGTAGCCTAATGGACAAACCTGGGGCCGCGTTTCGGTCTTTTTGGAATGAGATTTGTAGTAACCATATATGGTAATTTGCCCGCAAAAAGGTTATTTTGTAATTAAGTGGAAGCTGATATCTATTACGTAACGGTCTATGTTAGTCTAGAAGTTATTCAGTGTAAATAACTCCTCTAGCCAGGCCTGAAAACTGTGCTGCAATACATGCAATGATAACTGATGAATATAACTTGGGGGCAGAAATCTCAATGGAGTCGACTTTGATCACATGGTGATTGTTGTGCGCCTAATGTTTATATTAATTAATATGGTGCGAAGAATGGCAATTATAAGTTTGTTATGTATCAGCAGCTCAATTAGCTGCTATGACTGCACGCCTTTCCTCGCTAGCTTACGATTGCCTAGCTCGTAAAAATTTTTTACAGAAGAATTATATTGTCATAGAATTGACACCTATTTTCGATTTTTTTAAGCATTAGTGGAAGTATTTGCCTTGTCTGTGCAGTTGTTAGTGGGTTGTCTTAACATTGTTATGAGGGATGGTCTCCTATTTTCTTGCCATCATATTTTGCAATCATTTTGTAGTAAAACCTGTCTATCAAAACTCATTTTGTTATTTTGATCATCAGAATGAATATTTTCATAATTAATAATAATTTATACAATTAAATCTCTTCATGATGCAGGCCATTTTTTTGTCGTGATTGCGGTGCAATTTAGGCTAAGCATCGCTTAAATTTCTAACCTTTCTGTACCTGTGATCCTTGAAGGGAAATTTACTTTCGTAGCGTAGATATTGCTGCCGTATTGATGTTAAACTATACACTTGAATAGTTTGATTGAATTCGTAGGCATCAGTATCACAGTGACCCAGGCATATCAGACGTGGCGTAGAAGCCAGTTGACGTGACTATTATTTTGTTGAGAAGGTCGTAATTTTCTTTTAGGAGTTGTTTTGTCTGTTGGGTGGGATTAGAATAATTTTGTCGGTCTATGATATCGAGCATTTGAAATAGATTGCAGGTTTATGGAGTAGTTAATTTGTGCCCATACCCTATCGAAATTTTGAGGGCGATTAGCTTCTGCATAATAGACGGCTTTCGCTCGCCCAGCGCGTAAATTAGCGGCTCTATGTCCGCTTTACGCTCTTGTTGTAGGAGCAAAATAAGCGCCTGATTAGAATTCGGTCTATTCCTGACAACCGCGGGGCGAATGCGTGGCGCGTTTATTTGACACCCAATACCTTCGTTACAGACATGGCTGAATCTGAAAAATTCGTTTAAAAATGCCTCCTACCTTCCCTGCAATACTGGGGGGAAGGGAGCGGTTGTTTCATTACATGTATTGCCTTTTGTATTGCCCGATTCTTCCCCAACATTATACCCCATTCACCAGTACCAAAAATGTTTTTCTATTTCGGTATCAAACATCCGTCACTTACACCATTGCAAAATATTCTGTTTACATAACACAGCATCAAGAGTTTTCTCATACAATAAAGTGATTCAAACAGCTCACAGTGATATAAATATCTCATCTGTTTACGTTCCGCCTCTACCAGCAACTCTGTTTACCACCCGCCTCTACCTGCAACTCTGTTTACGTCCCGCCTCTACCTGCAACTCTGTTTGCGTGCCGCCTCTACCAGCAACTCTGTTTACGTCCCGCCTCTACCTGCAACTATGTTTACGTCTGCCCCTGGCTTCCTACCAGACATAACCCACATAGTACTAGACTCGATTAATGAAACTATACAAAACAAATTCCTACCGCAAAGGAGACGTGAGCGTCTGTCAAAAAGTACCTACCAAATATTCACACTCATGGGCCAGCAATAGGATTCAGAAATAAAATATTCGCACTACCTAAATGCAATCATTCGGCAGGTGCGGGATCATTCCACGAAATTACTGTGCAAATATTGCCTAAATAGGACCATGCCGGCCCACCGGACCCCCCTGCCGCGGTGTGGACACGAGCATTAAGAATAGCATACCCGTTGGTGGCCGGCGCTCAGGTTGCGCTAATTGCAATTGGCTATGGCGGCACATATATAATGGCCACCGATGATCAACGGCAGTAGTTATGCAACTGTGAAACGATGGCATCCCAGATGGTACGTAAACATATGCGGGTATGAGCAATCTATAGATAGTGTTTTTTCGCACAAGAAAAATGTCTTTTATAAAACACTCGACAATCTGGCAATGATCAAGTTTTGTTGCCGAATGCCACCATCCGGGTGCCAGTAGAATATCATGAATCCAGCACATTTACTAATTTCGCTAATAATAGTGCATTGAGTAAAATAAGGATAAAGACACTATATGTATCTGATAATATTGTCATTATATTTTTATAATATTTATATTACATGCGTATTTAATTACATAAATCAATACAAATGAACGCACATTTATAGCATATATTATAATAATGAATATGAACATCTCGTCAGCTTGTCAATTAGAAGCCTTCATTTATTTTAGAGTTACTATGGACGGGGCACAGTAGTTCAATATATAATTTTCCTGGAAGAATCGAGCTTATCAAACAAACTAGTTGGGTCTTTCAGTCACAACATCTGCATCATTTCATTTAGGATTCCAATAAAGTTTAGCTATACAAGATGCACCACACACATTCACACATTTCATATTGTATACAGCACGTTTGCTTATTTCCGTGCTTCCAACACACAATTCATATTGTGTGCAGCACGTTTGCTTATTTCCGTGCTTCCAACCTGTAATTGCCACCTTTAGAACAGGGCAACCATCACACGAACATAATCACAGGAGATGTTACCGAGAAATAATTGCATTTCGCAGTCCTAATCAGGGGCCGTATTATCAAAACTTCGTAACTTTCTGTACTTCCGACAAAAAAGTTACGTGTTACGTAAGTACACCCTAATTTTGGCATTATCAAAACATTCGTACGTAAGACTTAGCTAAAAGCGTACTATCAAAACCATCTGGCCAACTGACCAATCAGAGGCTTTGGATTTGTTTACATTCTGTGAACTTCGATGGCGGGAATCGTTGCCTTCGATGGTATCGACTATCGAATACTGTCTGTATGTATTGCTCCTTGTTGACCCTGAAAAAGCCGTTCTAAAATAGTTGTGAACTTTTTTTAATAAACAGCGTGAGTTGAAGAAGAAATCTGTGTACGGAGCTAAAAATTATGGTTGGCAGAGATATAAAGTACCGACTGGAAGGAATGAATGATGAGAGTTGGGCGCGAAAGCTTTGCTTTCGCGCTTGTAAAATATAACGTCATATGCATTTGCTTGTAAAATATAACGTAAAAGGAAAACAAAATCAGTTTCTGGCATTAACTCAATTGATTTTTTTTCCAATAGCACTGTTTAGCACGATCACATATTTTGATCGTGCAAATGTTGCACGATCATGTAGTGGAGATATCACAAGTAGAGCCATCATTCTATGCGTGTATAATCCGCGCTGTCGGATTATTGACAAAATCCTATCACAAGTCAAGGTATTACTACTTGCTAGTAAATCAATAGTTTCCTATCGCTTCAGCAGGCACTCTGAACTTGTGCGGAACTTCACTTACGACATCTCCGAGCAGGCGTACAGTTACGTTACGTATCTTCCCGCGCAAATGTTTTGATAATACCACCTCTAGAGTTACGTCATCAAGTCAGCACTTACGCCGCTCGTAAGTCGATTTTGCGTACTTACGAAGTTTTGATAATACGGCCCCTGGTCGGTAACCTAAATTTGTGGAGATGAGTCCCAAGAAACACTTCTATCCGTAGCGAAAAACTAAGAACTCATTTACTGAAAATGCCTGCTGTTCTATCAGTTTACAAGAAAAACGACACGACTGGGAGATAAGTGTCTCAATCGCTCCAAATTTCGAATATATATTCAATAACCAATGGGCCATGTTATTAAGTGCTGAAAAATAACAATAAATAAAAAGCATATAAAGAAGCAATTTACTTGAAACTCTCTAATGTTTCGCTTCACTTTTCTATAATTTTCTCCTAAAACTTTCATTTTTTTTGCGCAGCACAAATATTGATAAATTGGTTCCACTATCCAGCGACAGTTGGGAAGGAAAAATATGACATTCGTACTAACGTAATTCCCTACTTTGATTGACCAGCCCTAAGAATAATGCATCAATAACAATCTGTTTTATTTGAATTTGCAACTGACACATAAAAAAACTTTTTGTGATAAAATTAATAATTCAAAATCCTTGTACGGTTTTTAACCCTTTATTTGCACTTTCGCATCAACCTGCAAAAAGTTTCGAATCTTTTACCTTATTTTGAGAGAAAGGCATGCTTTTTTCTCTGCCTCCTCTTTACTGCAATGCATTCCAGATGTTAATGTTGTTTTTATGTTTTCTCCTCCTTTACATTGCAGTCCTCAAATTCACGCAAACAGGCTGCAAAAAGAAACATGTGTTTAAATAGAAGAGTTACTCAAGCACGCAAAAGGTTAAAAAATATTTTAAAACGAGCGAGCATGTGAAATCGACACGATCGAGAAAGTCAAAATCACATTTATTGGAATATTTAGGCTGACTGTATGACATGCAAGATGGCGCTGTCGCTGATCAAGAAAAGAGAGCCCGGCGTAATCATGCAAGATTAAGGCGAACATCAGAGAATGTACTCACTTCTTATTTTCAGATATTTTCAAAAAAATCAGTGGCAATGTTCGAAGTATGTCATCAATTGAATAAATTTTTTACTCCTTTGGAAGAGTATAGCTTTTATTTTTTATCAATTACCTAGAGATAAATTTCCTTGTTCGTCACATGAAAAGTTAAAATATAATGATATGATTTCTTCATAATAAATTTTACGAGCTAAAAACTTAAAAGCAAAGAAAGCTCCACAAAAATTCATAGTATTTATTGCAGACGATTGTCGTGTTTGCAGACGATTGTCGTGTATTGCAGACGATTGTCGTGTATTGCAGACGATTGTCGTGTATTGCAGACGATTGTGTATTGCAGACGATTTTCGTGTATTGCAGACGATTGTCGTGTATTGCAGACGATTGTCTGTCGTGTATTGCATACGATTGTCGTGCATTGCAGACGATTGTCGTGTATTGCAGACGATTGTTGTGTTGCAGACATGCCTTGTTTTTATACAGCTAAAAATTCAAAGAAAAATAGCGGATATTGCACATTCTGCGCAGAAAATGAGGAAGAAAACTTCAACACTTGTAGGAAACTAAAGACTGCCCAGCGGTCATGGCATGACTGCAATGAGATTACAATGAAGATGACGTAAAGTTTTATATCGCAACTCATATCCCTTGTGTTTTCAAATACCTAGGAAGTCTCCAATACATTTATACCCGAATAAACGATTCTGATAGAAGCTACGAAGGATATCATCGAACCGTGTCATTTAAAGTAAGATTGATAAGTGCCGTCGTCTCGGTTGATTTAACGTAATTGATAAAATAACAGCGATTTTATATCATTAATGTGCCTAATGCTGATGTTCCTTGTATTTATACAAATTTTTTAATGATGCTGGAGCTGGCCTCCGTAATGTTTACGGTGGAGATAAGGGAGTTTATTTTGCGTTGTCTTAGCGTTCAAGCTCTTTGAAGTTATTTCAGCTCATTAGATGCAACGAACCATCACGATTAAAACTTACGGTTTATATCAAAATAAATTAACAGTTCTTACCATTGTTATTTCCAGTTGCATCCTGAAGCTGCTGTCGCCCTCAAAATCTGTTGGGTTCCTGCACAATTATTGACGTGAATAATATATGAAGGATAACACTTTAATTCCGTATTGTCCCTGCAGCAGACGGAATTAAAATATTTGTGACGATATTATCGAACAATACATTGATGTAGTTACTAAATTTAGCGATTAGAATAGATAGAGAATAAATCTTGATATTGTAAATATATCTTAAATTTAGCAATCAAAAACCAAGGAAAGCGTGCAGCTTTTTTCTTAGATATGAAATTCACATTTTAGAGCTGCATGATGACACTATTGGATTCCTTCTTTTATAATAAATACTGAATAAATAAATGCTCATACAAGTAGATCCAGCCCTCTACTTACTCTACTTTTTAGCCGAAAAAGTGTCAGCTTTTAGCCGTCGTGTGTGCAGTTCCTTGATCCTCAGGGAGGTGCTCTGTGCTTCTCGCCCGGGGCCTGGATGAGCTGTGCTCGGGTCACGGCAGCCGCGCCTTATATAGCCGGGGAACGGACTCCCCAGCTGACATTTTTCCGCTCAATAGCTGACGTTCCTGAGAAAAATGCATGAAAATCTGCTATACTTTGTGGCGTTTGATTGCGGGAGAGCATTAGTCATGCATTAATGGTTTAATTACCTTGAATAAATTTGATTGATAATTGAACTACACTTGCAGGACTTATTTTTTAAACGAGTAGCATTAGCAGCTGCAAATTAGATAATAAAATTCATCGTTGGTTGTAATAATGTCTTATAATATCACTGCTGAGGGTTGATTTAGCACAACAACACAGAGAAAGCAAAGAAAAAAAGAAAAGCACACAGAAACCCACAAAAAAAACAGAAACACATAAGAAGGCAGCAGAGATCAAAACATCAAAAAAAAAAAAATAAAAAAATCAGAACAATAAACTTTAAATGTGAAGAACAAGAAAAAGGAAATCTAGCTAAAGGAAAAAAAAAAAAAACCAAAGATACACTCCCAAAAAAGAAAAAAAAAAATACAAAAGAGAACACACACCGAAAACTGCCACACAGAATTTTGAAAAAATATCAAAAAAAAAAAAGAGAGAACATTCTCAGATGCGCCCCAAAATCGCACAAGAACACCCCGCGCTCTCTTCTCGAGAACAGACACAGCCACATCGCATATCACAAACACGGCCCAAAAATATCAAAAAAAATGAGACTCACACTCTCGCGTCGAGATCACACACGCGCGCGCATGAAAAAATATTTTAAAACATTGTGTGCGCGAGAAAAACTCCTATATAAAAACACATGTCTCTTTGCACACCCTGTGCACGAAAATGAGAACACCAAAACAAAAAAGAAGAAAACACAAAAACACAACAAAAACATAGAAAACACAGAAGAAAAAAGAAGAGGAAGAGAAAAACGCATGCCTTTCTCTCAAAATAAGGTAAAAGATTCCAAACATTTTGCAGGTTGATGCGAAAGTGCAAATAAAAGGTTAAAAACCATACAAGGATTTTGAATTATTAAATTTATCACAAAAAGTTTTTTTATGTGTCAGTTGCAAATTCAAATAAAACAGATTGTTATTGACGCATTATTCTTAGGGCTGGTCAATCAAAGTAGGGGAATTACGTTAGTACGAATGTCATATTTTTCCTTCCCAACTGTCGCTGCATGGATAGTGGAACCAATTTATCAATATATGTGCTACGCATAAAAATGAAAGTTCGAGGAGAAATTATAGAAAAGTGAAGCAAAACACTAAAGAGTTTCAAGTAAATTGCTTCTTTATATGTTTTTTATTGATTGTTCTTTTCCAGCACTTAATAATATGGCCCATTGGTTACTGAATATATATTCGAAATTTGGAGCGCTTGAGACACTTATCTCTCAGTCGTGTCGTTTTTCTTGTACACTGATAGAACAGCAGGCATTTTCAGTAAATGAGTTCTTAGTATTTCGCTGCGGATAGAAGTGTTTCTTGGGATTCATCTCCACATATTTAGGTTACCGACCTGAGTAGGACTGGGAAATGCAATTATTTCTCGGTAACATCTCCTGTGATTATGTTCGTGTGATGGTTGCCCTGTTCTAAAGGTGGCAATTACAGGTTGGAAGCACGGAAATAAGCAAACGTGCTGCACACAATATGAATTGTGTGTTGGAAGCACGGAAATAAGCAAACGTGCTGTATACAATATGAATTGTGTGAATGTGTGTGGTGCATCTTGTGTAGCTAAACTTTATTGGAATCCTAAATGAAACGATGCAGATGTTGTGACCGATAGACCCAACTATTTTGTTCGATAAGCTCTATTCTCCGAATCTGGCTTCGAGGAAAATTATATATTGAACTACTGTGCCCCGTCCGTAGTAACCCTAAATGAAGGCTTCTAATTGACAAGCTGACGAGATTTTCATATTAATTTTTATAATATGTGCTATAAATGTGCGTTCATTTGTATAGATTTATGTAATTAAACACGCATGTAATAATAATATTATAAAATATAATGGCAATATTATCAGATAGATATAGTGTATAGTGTTTTTGTCCTTATTTTAATCAATGCACTATTATTAGCGAAATTATTAAATGTACCGATCGCATTTCATGATATTCTACTGGCACCCGGATGGTGGCGTCCGCCAACAAAACGTGATCATTGCCAGATTGTCGAGTATTTTATAAAATACATTTTTGTCGTGCGAAAAAGAACTAGCTACACTGAGAGAAATTTTTGCCTCTAGAAGTGAGTCTTTCACATGAGTGGGTCATACTCATAGTGAACCACTTTCTTTACTTCACGCAGCAACAGCCGCAGTAAACCGGCACATGGGTCAGCGAATCAACGCTATGACTCAGTTGGCAGAGTGCCTTCCTTAAACGTGGAACATATGCGCGTATTGACTCCTCTGTGCTGGCAGCTTTCAGCTGTGGAACCTTTATTATCAATGTAAATATTGAGGAAATACAATACATTGATTTTTATGTGTCACCTGGCGCGTGTATTATAAGTTAATTCCACATTAATATTTTTAATTTTGTTGAAGCTGGACATGAAGATCGCTTCATATTTTGTGGTGGTCCTAACTTTATTCGTATAAAATCGGAGTATTATTGCATTGACTATAACTGTAGGGAGGAAGATATTGCCCGTTGACAATAAATGTAGGTAGAAAGTTATTTTATTAGTTCGAGGCAGTGCAAGTAACCGTCCCGCAATCACGAACTTTCGTCAGCCAAATAGTGCCACATTTCATGATCACCGAACATTTTGTACTGCTGCTACTGCGTATATGATCCTTCCACTAGTTCCACATGCGCTAAAAAACTAATTTTTTTCGGTAGCATCATTCTAATGCAACGTAAATAACATTTATAGTTTATTTACAACTGTGAATAAGGATAGTTTGACGTTGTGTTATTTGAATTTGACAATTTGACTCACGCCACTGTCGCCCTCTAGCGCCTCTTAACGAAGAGCCGTTAGAAGAACTGCGTCAAATTGCTGTCTAGACTCTGGAGAATAATTAGTCGGTGGCAAACTTTTTTTCATGGATTTGGGAGTTTGCAGTGTTATTGTTTAATAAAATTTAATGTACAGGAGCTGTAGATAAATGAAAAATTAACGTGGATCAGTAGGCTGTTTCTATTATGACGAGTCAGTGTACCTCAGTACCTACCTGTTTATACATAATCCTCATGAACTCCACTCTGCAGTGTGTTCTGTGTTCATCTTCCTCAAGTTCCTGTACATAAAAGAAAATCTTTCTATCTTTGTTCTTTCCTCAATCCAAAAATACCTGAGTTACAGATACAATGTCTAGTTGCTGATATTTCAATTCAGTATTAGTATACATAAGTTTACTGTTTCTTCATTTGTTTACTAACCCTCTAAAATGCTATGGCTACCCTGTTAAAGAAAAGGCATTTGAGTAATATAAGAACTTTTTATGGTGGTAAGATGGTTAAAATTTTAAGTTTCTAACAAGAATGTCATAATAATATTACACAACCTGAATTCTACCCGGCTGTGCTTCAATTTAATTTAATAATTTTAGGCAATCAGAAATTAAACACCTTTCTTATGTTACAATATAATGTTTTGGAATTTGTTTCATGAATTTGAATTATTAATTTTTACGAAAGGGTTATTTTTTTACTGTATAATCATCATAAAGCAGAACACTTTTTTATCATGAATTAAACTTTGAGTGAAATCGTTGCTGTGTCAAATTATCTTGCCTAATACCTTCATGTGGAAGAAACATGGGAGTGATAGGAGTCATAGGACTAGAACAGAAAAGATAATCAAGAGAGTGTGCTGTCTCTGCTGTGTGACCAAGAAAACAAGCATTTAAATGGCTAAAAAATCAGTTGGTTTGCCTTCAACATGCAGTCCAAAATAAAGAAATAGTTGTGGTGCATAAAGTTTATACCAGAACCTAACAAAATTCATTGTAATATAAGACAGAAAACTATTCCTTGATTCAGTATTCCTGGATTGTGAAGTGGTGATAAAGCTGACTTACTGACCTAATTTTGGTGATTGTGCTATCTTCATTCGTCAATCAGCAGAAGGCAAATGGGTTGTGGCCTCTATATGCTCCAGTAATTCAATGCTAAACCTAAGATGACTCCACTAGAGGCGTCAAAGCTAGACGAGTGTGGAGCTGGAGGAAAAGCGCCACGGTGACCACAGTCACCACTCACCACACTACGTGTAAGTTTAAATTATTTAAGAATATATCACTCCAAAGTCTCCAATCATGGCAGCAACCCATCCAATGTGTAGTCATATGCCTAATTATTGATTCTATTTCATAGAAGTCACAGAGAATTTTTTATATCCATTATTTTCTTTACATTCTCATCCATGAACTTGAATTTTGTTTTTTTACTCCATTTTTTATGATCACCTAAGATTCTGAGTCAACATTAAGTCTTGTTTATAATGTTGTCTGAAAATTTGGGAATAATCTTCACTCTCCAGGAATTTGTTTGCAATTGTGCAAGAATATCTCAGATTATCAGAACTTTTCTTCCTAGTTTATCTGTAGCAGATGGTGTTGTATTTTCATGAATGTCACTGCAGGCACATAATATACTTAAAATTTCCTTCCTGGTTCAAATAATTTTTTTTTCATAATTAACTGATGCAAATTAATTGAATAAAGAGATATTTGTCTCTTCTAAAGATAACCTGCAGAATGAAGTATATATTCACTTTGAGATCACCACAGAGTTATGATTTTTGTATAATTAAAAGTCTTTAGTGAATGTTATGATTCATGAATAAATAACTTTACGCTGCAAAAATATGATATAGACCCACCAATGTTTCATGCCATAAAATATACCTTTACAGCCTCATGAAATTTAAAAAATTACTCATATCAAATGAAACAAGTCTAATTAAAATGCTTTTTCAGTGCAACAATGCTGCTGAGCTCTCACCTACCCACCTTCCCTTC